GAAATTTTAAAACAAGAAATAGAAAAAGGCCAATTCACCAAAATGTCAAGAAACATCGGAGGCACCGAAACTAGTCGAAAATAAGTATATCTCAAAGTCAGTTATTAAGCCTCCACAGTTTGACGGAAAAACCGCTTGGGCCAATTATTTTTGCCAGTTTGAGGCCGCTGCGAGAGCGAACGGGTGGACAATCGCTGAAAAGGCTACCGCTTTGACTGTCGCACTGCGAGGAGATGCGACTGATATTTTGCAGACATTGTCACCATCGGAACAGGGAGATTATCAGCAATTGGTAATGGCTCTCCATTTAGAAATGAGGTACGGCCAGGCTCATTTGGAACATGTCTATCATTCCCAGCTAAAAAATCGCATTCAAAAGTCAAATGAGTCTCTGCAGGAGTTTGAAGCCGACGTAGCCCGCCTTGCGTACCCTGCTATGCCCGAAAATGTTATGGAGCGCTTAAAAGTACAGGCTTTTATTGATGGTTTACGTGACAACGAGACAAGGCAAACACTTCTTTTAGCTCATCCAACGCATTTGGGAGATGCCCTAGCACGTGCCCTGGAATTTGAGGCCGCGAAAGAATGCTCTAGGTCTCTAGGATTTGTACGGGCTGTTGAGGAGTGTTCCGACGATTCCAAAGTGGAAAGGATTGTGCGGAAAGTACTGGATCAGTATATGAGCAAGAAGGGGGGACCGATTCGCTGTTGGAATTGCGGACAGATGGGAAATCGTTGCAAAGAAGAGAAAGAAGTGAAAGTCTTAAGGACGACCGTGGTTGGTGATACTTGGCAAACCGAAGATCTTGCAAATGACCAAATCAGCGATCCAGAGTTGGGCTTGGTGATTAACTGGAAAAACGCGGACCAGAGACCAACGTGGGGGGAAGTTTGCAGATATTCGCCGAACGTGAAGTCGTACTGGGCCCAGTGGAATTCCTTGGTAATAGATAACGGACTACTTCGCCGTGTGATCGAGAGACCGGAGGGCAAGAAGAGAGAAGACAGATCGTCATTCCAAAGAAGAGGGTCCCAGAAGTCTTGGAGGAAGTTCACAATGGAACCAGCGGAGGACATCTTGATGTTACCAAGACACTTGGCAAGCTGCGTGAACGGTTCTACTGGGTGAACTGCAAAGAAGATGTGAGGGCCTGGTGTAAGAAATGTGACATTTGCGCAGCCATTAATGGGCCACAAAAGCGTGGTAAAGCCCCTATGCGCCAGTACAATGTTGGTAGTCCCTTCGAACGAATAGCGATCGACGTGGCTGGTCCTTTCCCGGAGACGAACGATGGCAACAAATACATTGTGGTAGTAATGGATTACTTCAGCAAATGGGTCGAGGCCTACGCGTTGCCAAATCAAGAAGCGTCCACGATTGCTGATGCCCTTGTTAAAGAATGGATCTGCAGGTTTGGTGTTCCCATGGAGCTTCATTCAGATCAGGGAAGAAACTTTGAGTCCAATCTGTTCCAAGGCGTCTGTGAAGTCCTGAACATCCGCAAGACCAGGACGACTGCTCTACATCCACAATCCGATGGGATGGTTGAACGCATGAACAGAACTATCAACCGTTATCTGGCCAAAGTAGTCTCTGACCACCAAAGAGACTGGGACAAATTTCTTCACCTGTTCCTGTTGGCCTACCGTTCATCCGTCCAAGAATCTACAGGGCAAACTCCAGCCAGCATCGTTATGGGACGGGAAGTGCGCCTACCCTGTGATCTGAAATTTGGTTGCCGACCGGGAGAAGAAGTCGCCGGAGAAGATTATGTCCACACACTACGTCAAAGGATGGACGACATTCATCAGAGAGTCCGCCTAAATATTCAAAGTGCTAGTGACCGAATGAAGGAACACTACGACATTCAAGCTGAGCATGGAGGATACCAACCAGGGAAGTTGGTGTGGCTATATAACCCGCAGAGACGTCGTGGGTTATCTCCGAAGCTACAATCCTCGTGGGAAGGGCCATACGAAGTCATGGATAGAATTAATGACGTCGTATACCGTATCAGAAAATTGCCAAAAGGAAAACCGAGGGTAGTCCATTTCAACCGTTTGAGCCCCTACCAAGGCGAAATAGAAGATCGTGCTGGGACCGTGAGAACCTGCAGCTTTGATCCCCCTGATTCGGAGATGTCCTTTGACGATTTCATGGCCCGATACAACAGCAGTGAGAAGGCTCGCTATGGTGTAACCAAAGAAGATCAACGAGACCTCTTTTCCGTGCCTCCTGATTATTCGCTCGCTCATTGTGTGGCTCGAGATTTGCGGATGTCCAGAGGAATCGCTGCGACGTTCAATGAGAAGTTTGGGCGTGTCGGAGAACTACGCCGACAGGATCCAGAGGTTGGAAGCGTCTTGAGGCTAACCGACAATGCACATGGTCAAGCAAGGCACATCTTCTACCTGGTCACCAAGGAATGGTCCCCGAGTAAGCCGACTTATCTCAATCTATGGAAGACCCTGATTGAACTGAGAGAAGCCCTGCTAAACAACAACATTGCACGATTAGCCATTCCGAAGCTGGCGTGTGGACTCGATGGTTTGAGTTGGCGTACAATCCGGAACATGATTGAAGTCTTGTTCAGATTTACGGGAATCGAGATCCTCGTTTGCTGCTACAACCCAAAGCTGAGATCGGGAGAGAAAACTGTAGACTGCTATTTCTACCAGACTTCGCAATGTACCAGGGGTCAGCTTTGCAAATACCTTCATTCACCGTATACATCTCGGGACGAGCATGTGCCTAAGAAGGGGGCAGTGTTGCGAGCCGGTGTGGACTCGACCTAACCTCACAATATGGCCCGCCCTCGGATGACCTTAACATCGCATAGACACCGCAATGATTCATTCGTTCGAGAAGAATCGAGTCCCACTGGAAGGGACTAGTACATACGAGAACATTCGAAAACCTTCTCTATGCGCCTAACGATCTTTGGACTATTCTAGATTTCTTTTACCTGTCGGTATAAAAGCCGGCGGCAGTGGCCTAGAGAGGGCAGTTATAAATATACCAGTGCAGTTGACGCGCGAAAAATTCAAAATAAATTCTTAGTTATAAATCGTTTGTAAATAGTTCTATAAGTCTTTTATCGTTATTGTTTTAGTTAATTAGTGTTAAATAAATAGTGTTTAAATAAATTGTGACTTTCTATCCACACGGAACCGACGAAAAACGTAACATTATGGTGTTTTGATTTGGGGTGGCATGTATCACTGCACATTGAGACAATTAAAAACTAGTCAAAATTACATCATTAAAATTATGTTTAGGAGACCTAAGCTATACTCTACCAGTAAGCTTTACAATGCAGAAATATGTGATGTAAGAAATCTGTATATAATTGCTGTTTGTTGTTTTACTCATTTTAATGATAATATCAGAATTTTGAATCCACTAAGTTATTGTTCTACTAGGCATGTAACAAATCAAAATCTGGGTATAACCAAATGTAATAATAATTTAATTCAGCATTTTGTGACATATATAGGACCTAGGCTTTATAATTTGATTCCACCAGCTATTCGAAGTGTAAAAAAGAAAAATGTATTTAAAACTAAATTTAAAGAACACCTATTTGCTAATAATGATTTGTTTTTAGATAATCTTGGAGATAATTTATTATTATTGTAAATATTGTTTCTAATTTGAAATATTGATGAGAACTGATGATTGAAATTACGGATAAGTAGGATTACGGCACATTGTAATTAATTGTAAGTGTTTTTTTTTCATTGTTACTGTATAATAAAAGTATTACTGTGTAAATAACATTGAGAGTATATGTAATAACGGCACATAAGACATAATCTTATCAATAATTAAGTGTTTTGAATTTTGTTCAATGCACATACAGATGCTTATGCATCTAGGTGCATCGCTCTCTTAGAGTATGTATTGAAAAAAAAATATATAATATTGTTTGATTTCATTGTATGTAATTGAGAATTGTACTTAATTTTTAGTTGAATAAATTGAATTGAATTGAATTGAAAATACCAAAAACAGTTGAATACGCCAATCAATCCTAATTTATGTCATATACTAATATACCAAATCTCGTTTTTTCTATCTAAAAAAATAAAACATTTTTAGGGCTTGGTTGTTACACTTTTGAGACGCATCCGGTATTTACAAGATCCAAGAGATTACAAAAAATTAAGGGTGGATGCAAACCAAATTAATTTAAATTAACATTTTGTTGGAAAATGTTGCACCTATTTAGAATTAAAAACAAGACACATTATGCTAAAAATTACTCTTCTGTCCCTTATTTTGTATTTCGGATTCTGTGTGTTCGATATACACTCATATTTTTCATAAATATGAATAAACTTCACTTTATCTTCTTCTGATCACCTACTATCTGTCATTTTGAAAACACTTGAACGTTAAAAATTAAACAACTGTCAACTGAGACCCGAATCAACTCACTTGATCAATAATTGACATGATTTGTCGAGTTTAGACGGCCATATTGCATTCATGCGAATTGAATTCAAGTGATCTGAACAATTCACTTGACGCTTAAGCCGGAGTCTCATGCACCCGAAATCCAATGGTACGACATCCGAAATTTGAAGTTATCCTGTGAAATAAAAAAAGCCTGTCACATACATCCGAAAGTTCGTTCCGAAATGTGACAGTTTTGACATTTAGACCTGTCATTTCCTATCAACAGTATCAACATTATTACATGTATTATTGGAGAAACACTTATAAAAATAAGTTCCTCGCCAAATATCCCGAAATTGCCCCCTTCCCACTAAACTTGTTTTTAAAAACCAATGTTTTCAAAAAAAGTGAGGTTAAAAAACACACGATATCGTACAAAAGTGAAACAAAATTTAACTTTATACGACGGCGGACGATTAGTTAAAAATATCGGATAAAAACTGGTGTCAAACTATTTCGACCAATAGGAGCACCGTCGGATCGTCGTGTCATCGGATTTCGGATGCATGAGACTCCGGCTTTAATCGTTAATATCTACCTGGACGCTTATTTCATGCGCACTGTTGTAGACTAAAAATAATTGAGTACTTAAAGTGATGAAATAGGAAAATACGGTGATTTGCTTGATAAGAGGCAACTGAAATTTAATTTTATTTATTTTACTAAAAATTTCGAAATTACTACCTGTATATTACCTGTAATATTTGATAAACTACCAGGGAAAGTTGAAACGAAGATATGACGAAATTTAGAAGCATAAACAGTTTTATAGAATCGTTCAATTGTTCAACAAATCTAGAAAAAAAATGTTTCACTTCAAAAAGTTTTCTGTGAACTTAACAGCTCTATCTCTGATCATTGTCTATGTCTACGATATTGACACATACAGTTCATACCAAATAAACTTCTAGTCACGTGATTAAGCTTGACCGGCGCCAGCGTTGCCCTCTTTTATATATTTTCTTAATTAGTCAGAATGGCGCCGAATGTGTTCATGGTTGGCAACAATGAATTTAAAAATCGCGCCCTCGATTACGTAACTAAAAGCTTCATTGATATGAAATATATCTATATCTATATGTATATGTATTCAGTATATAACACATGTTTACCTTATTATTTTTAAATGTTCTTTTACTAATTTTTTCAGAAGTAATATTTGCGATTGTTCCTCCGTTAAAGAATATTGCTCCTGAAATTTGTTGGAGTATTTCCTAAAATTGACGAACAAGTGTTGAAGAATTTTTAGTTCGCCTGTTACGAAGGTTATTAATGTAATGTAAAATGCTCCACAGTAAACTATGTAAGCATATCCATAACTAGAATTAATAAAATATATTTTATTCAAAGGCCTGACTGAAAGGACTATTATTTTTTTATCTACTATTACTATTATATATATACTATTATCTATGGGCTGAACGGAATTGACATGTGTGACTTATGTATGTGCTCGGCCATAGTGCGCCAGTCTATGCCAGCTGTACTGTTCGGGTCGCTCTCAGGGGTCGGGTAAAGCGGGCGTGTGGCCGAAGGAAATATATATTATATTCCAGAAATCTGCCTAAGGCTGAGCCCGATCCTGTCGTGTTAAGCCACAGCCAAAATTCCAAACACACGTGCTTGGATTAAGGCTTGATTAAGATTTGCAAAGCTTCAGCATCAACATTTTTTTGTTAAAATGGATATGGTAAACAATGTTTATCCTTCAGACCCAATATTATTACAAATTCTTGCACATTTCGATTTGTGGTCTCTTGGGTTTCAGAAGAAATTTGACCATTGTTTTGGTCTTAAAATGCATAGAAACATTATTTCACAGTTTAATAGAGTCAGAATAGTAACACTGTCTCAACAGGGCTAACGGCAAGATGCAATAGCTGAAATTGTAGGAGTTAACCAAAGCGATGTTTTGCGAATATTAAAAAAATTCAGGGAGACAAACGAGGTTACAGACCGGCCTGGAAGAGGTAGAAAGAGAGTTACTACTGCTGTACGAGACCGTCAAATATCCCTAATTGCACGACACAATCCCCTGCTTTCTAGTACTGCTATTACAAATGAGTTAACTCGCCTTGAAGGAGTAAATGTTTCAAGAAAGACCATAGCAAGAAGACTCCTTTACAGAGGATTACTTTTAAGGAGGCGTCTACGTGTTCCGAAGCTTAATTTACTGAGGAGATGAGAGCAAATGGACCTAATTGGAATTTCGTCATGTTTAGTGATGAAACAAGAATAGGCCTAGTGTCAGACTCGCGACGAATTTTGGTCTGGAGAGCATCTGGAAGACGAGCACGCTTGAATACTGCTCAACCCCGTGTCCCGATTCAAGGGGGAAGCATTATGGTATGAGCAGGTATAATGCACGGAGCTCGAACACCTCTTGTTTTTATTGATGGCACAATGACAGGTGCCTCATATCTAAGAGACGTTTTAGAGCCTATTGTGCGTCCATTTCGAGGAGCAGTGGGGGATGAATTTGTTTACATGGACGATAATGCTCATCCCCATCGCACTTTAGCGGTTCGCGAATTTTGTGAGGAAGATGGTATTAGAAAACTGTGGTGGCCACCGATGTCTCTAGATATGAATGTGATCGAGCATGCTTGGGACATGCTAAAACGCCATATTGCCAAAAGGAATGCTCCCCCCGTACCTTAAATGAATTGAAAATTGCTGCGCGCGAAACATGGGAAGCCATTCCTCAACATCTTCTGGACAACTTAATTGGGAGCATGATTCGGGAGTCGTCGATGAATTAACTCTAGCGGGAATACACTGCATTGGGTATGCAGATGACATAGTCATGATCGCTCGGGGGAAACATGAAGGCACCTTGTCTGATATTATCCAAAGAGGACTCCGTATCACTGAGAGATGGTGTAGGACTGTCGGGCTGAGTATCAACTCAGACAAAACCGCGATAGTGCCATTCACCAGAAGGCGAAGTCTGAAAAACTTGAAAAGAATCCAACTAGATGGAAAGGAAATACTGCCAACACAGGTAGTTAAATACCTGGGAATAACCCTGGACAGTAAACTCCTGTGGAACAGGCATATTAAGAACACTACCAGCAAAGCCATAAAGGCTCTCATGATATGCAGAAGACTGGCCGGAAATAGATGGGGCTGCTCCCCTAACATTTTGCGCTGGATGTATACCATGATAGTAAGACCCATGATTACTTATGGAGCAGTTGCCTGGTACACAAAACTAGAGCAACGGACGGCAAGGCTAAACCTATGCAAAGTCCAGAGACTAGCATGTGTTTGCATCACAGGAGCCATGAGAACCTGTCCAACAGCAGCAATGGAGGTCATTCTAGATCTAACACCACTGCACATTGTCATTGGTAGATATGCCAATGCGACAATGATTAGAATGGTCACTAACGGAATTAGTACTGGGAGAATTGTCAGATCAGGGGCTTGGAACACCCTCAAAAAGGAAATACCACTCCTGCAACTCCCAGTGGGCGATATGCCAAGAACGTACATCTTTGACAAACATGTCAATGTAGTATTGAGCAATAAGAAGGATTGGAAGAGCGAAACGCTTGCCCAGCAGTTAAAAGACCATACCATAACTTGGTATACTGATGCTTCCAAAACCAATACGGGAACAGGGATCGGAGTGTTTGGGCCGAGAGCTAATTACTCCGAACCAATGGGCACTTACCCTAGTATCCTACAGGCAGAAATCTACGCTGTCGAGAGATGCGTACAACTTATCTTAGATAGGAACTATCGGAAACAAGAAATAGCCATCTTATCTGATAGTCAAGCAGCGTTAAAGGCGATCAACTCAGTATCAATCAATTCGAAATTGGTCAAAGAATGCATAGAGAAGCTGTATAAATTAGGCAAAGAATACAAAGTCTTCCTACAGTGGATGCCTGCTCACCAAGGGATAGAAGGCAATGAAAAAGCAAATAATCTAGCTAGGAAAGGAGCGAACACTCCACTAACTGGACCAGAACCGTTCTGCTTTCCAAGTGGTAACCAACTCAAGGCGGAACTCAAGAACTTGGAAGATTCCATCCGCAACCTGGAATGGAATAAGCAATGGTCTAAGACACTCGAAGAAGTTTCTGAGGGCTTATGATCAAGAAAAATCACAGATCTTCCTGGGTCTGAGTAAGAACAATCTTCGGATTGTCACGGGGTTTTTAACAGGACACTGTCTCCTCAATGAACACCTCAGTAGATTGAAACTAAGAAGAAACGGCGAATGCAGATTCTGTGGGGAAGATGGGGAAACACCAGTACACCTCATCACTGAGTGCGCCGAGACGACAACCATTCGTGCCATGAATTTTGGTACGACTGATATTGGAGATGGAGAACTACCCTCTATAAAACCGTCCCAGATACTGGCTTTTGTCAAAGCCCTGGGTGTGTGATGAGTTATGATTCAAGAAAGGGGGACACAATGGATCTGTAAGGTCGAAGTGATTAACCCCCCTCCCACTCATTCTAAATTCTAAAATTCTAATGCCACGTCGTCTCACAGCTTGCATTGAGGCTCGAGGAATACAGACTATTAGTTGTGAGAAATAATTAAAGTTGTTTTCAATATTTCCTGTTTAAAATGAAATTTGTTTTTGTTGATTTTCACTCATTATGAAATAAAATTATAATAACAGCCTAGTTGCACTTAGATTTTTAATTTTATATTAGTTAGTCGTGTAGTAAGCTAATATGTCCAAAAACATAAAAAGAATCATTAGGTCCAAAATAAAATAAAAATATCGTTATATGCAATAATTTTTGCCATGTGTGTATGAACATTATCACTGCCAAAATGCTAAATGAAAATGAATGATGCCAAATGACAGTCCCGCTTCTTGCAAGCGGTTGTTAATGGCTTGCAACCTGCTTCAATGGCGCAGACCAGCCGCGATATAAGCCGGCAACCGGGAGGCTGGTGCACTATGGACGCATCTTTATACTCACAAGCATCCCGTGAATTGTATGAGGTATGCTGCCCAGTAATATCTGTTTGCGTCAAAAGGAAAATAACTGAACACAATAAAATGGTGTTCTTTAACCCCTGTAATGTTATTGTAACCGAGTGGATAAACAACGTTGCTTATTAGAGGCGTTATAAAATACAATGATATTCCAGTAGATCCCATTGATACGTAGAAATAAACGATTTTTCTTGTGAAAGCTGCGTTTTCTTTGTAAATTTTTAGAAACTCTTCGTCTTGGCTGTTGAAGATTTTCTTCTCCTTTTGGGCGATGTAGGCTATTAATTGTTTGTAAGTTTTAGATTTGAAGATGAGAACCTGTAAATTCACCGTTTTAATTCAAGCCTTACAGGGTGAGTCTTAAATAAGTGCATATATTTTCAGGGCTGGTAGGTCTCGATAAAAGGCACATATTTTTTCTTTACCGTTTTTCAAATAAGTCCAAAATAACCGAGATATTTTTTACTTTGAAAATTAAAAAAAAAATATTTTTCGGTTAAATTTTTGGGAACACGATCTTTTCTGGGTACGAGCTTTTCTTTCTTGTAAATTTAATGTACTATCTATGTTGCCATATTATGAAGATTTTATATTTTTCAACTAAAAGTTAAAAAAAATTCCAAAAAATGTTTCAAAAAATTCAAAATTTTCATTTTTTTTACAAAAAATACCTCATAGATGTGTGTCTGGGGTGGAGATATACTACCTCTAAAAATATTTGCACTTATTTAAGACTCACCCTGTGTATGTATATACAGGGTGGTCCGAACTGTATTCCGGAAACTTCGGCAGCATATTCCGCAAATAAAAATAAGAAAAAAAAGTTGTATAAATATATGTCCTAAAATGGCTTAGTTTCGGAGATACAGGGTGTAGAAGTTCCATTTTAATTACGATTTTTTCCAAATAATTTTTGAAGCAACGTCAATATTTGGATGAAAATTGGTGTCTGGAAGTTTTTTGACATGAGAAATTTGATTTTGATGTCAATATGACTCCTATTTGTAGGGGGCGCCACCTGTGTTTTAATTGTTTAAGAGTGATAATTTTTCGTTCGAACCTGTATAGAATTACTGAGTGAAAAACTATATATTTTCGTCATTTTTTACGTAAAAAATGTCTCTTGGTAAAAATCGTTAAGAGCAACCGTTCACAAGATATTTAGAATAGAAATATTGTCAATACATATCTTTATTGACAAAAAATAAAAAGATTGAGTAGATATAGTTATGTGACTAAAATAATAAATTTGAGAACTTTTATTTTTTTAAGTTAATCATATTTTTTTTGAAAAAATGATGATAAAACAGTTTCTGTTGAACTTTTGGTATAAAAATATTTCAAATTTATGATTTTAGTCTAATAACTATTTAGTCAATACGTTTAATTTATGTCAATGATGACGGGTATTGATAATTTCGATTCCAAATACCTGGAGAACCATTACTCGTAGCGATTTTTACCAAGAGACCTTTTTTACGTAAAGAACGTCGTAAATGTATATTTTTTTACTCAGTAGTTTTCGAGGGGTGTCTCTCTACTGGAATTACATGTACATCTTCTTGGCAGTCGCTGGCAGTCATTGGCAGTCTTACGGCAGTCACCTATAATAATTACATGGCAGTCATAGGCAGTCTTCTTGGCTGTGATTGGCAGTCGCTTGGTAGAAAGTATATGTACATTTTTTACCCAAGTGAGACACCCCTCGGTAGTTTTATACAGGTACGGATGAAAAGTTATTACTCTTCTAATCAGTTAAAAAATATGTAGGTGGCGTCCCAGCAGAGCTTGGCACGTGTTTTGTTCGAAACACCCTGTATATTTCAGTATACCTTATAGGCGTTGCTGACATATTCGATAACGATCCCAAAACTGCTTGCTGTAGTTAAATAATTTTCGCTCCAAGTTTTTATAGCTAAAACAGCTCCGCTGATGTCGAATATTATGTAGTAAACGAATGTCAACCAAAAATAAAATGTGTACAATGGTTTCCAAGAGCGTTTCGAATCTAGAGGCCATATTCCCAGCAACAGAAGACATTTTCTCACAAATTTTAAATGGTAATGGACGTCGAAATCTGGGAATTGTTTTTATTAGGTAATTCTGGTTTATTTTCTACTTCTGATGTGATACTCACCACTTGCAGCTAAATTTTCCTCCATTCTAAACAAAACGTCTCTGAAAACTAATTTTAAATATTTGTTTTGCATTTTCTCTAATAAGTATTATACCTATAATTATATAATATAATATAATCTATGTTCATAATGGTAGATTTAATATCATATATTTCAGATATAATTAGAAAGCATGTCTTTTGATTCGACTATGAATTCTAGCATTAATATATTAAAAATTGAATATTATTCAATACGTTTATTATTATTAAGTATCATCATAGGCTATTCTTACCTTATTTGAATATATTTTTTATATTTCCTTTGATGTAAGTCGTTGTAATTTCTTCTTTGATGTAAGGCTATTTTTTAACATATAATATAGGTATATGCATGAAGTAAAATACAATCAGTAAGAAAATCTGTATTAATAATTTATTATCTTCCTGGTATACTACCTGTAATTATACTGGCATTGGCATCTGTCGTAATTTCGAATAATTATACGGGGAATCTGAATTAACACTACATAATTGCTAGAATATATTATTAAATTTAAAAATGCTTGAATTATAGGGTTGATTTATAAAAAAAAATAATTTTATAATATTGATAATTTAGTAAAGTTCATACCAAATAAACTTTTAGTCACGTGATTAAGCTTGACCGGTACAGCGTTGCCAACTTTTATATATTTTCTTTTAATCAAAATATTTTAGGAAATAAAAATAATTATAAATATAATATAGACAATTATTATTTACATCAAGAAAACTTACCTTCTTAACAGCACTTAAGGGGCATATACAGGGTGTCCCACTTAAGATGGATACAAGCCAATATCTTGGTTGTTTGTTGAGCGATCTTTTTCATTTTTGGCAGGAGGCTGTATGGCTATAAGATGTACATTTTGCCTAGGGTAAGAAATGCGATACCTCATAGACGTACGTTTTAATAGGGTTTGATATTTTTCGAATCAAGAGTAAACTACCCTTAGGACAGTATTTTTTTCAAATTTGATAAATGATATTGAATCCTCCTTACCTAATATACTTAAGTTCTAATTTTGATAAATATTGATACAGGGTGTGTCATTAAAATAAGACATTTTCATTTTTATTTTTATTTTTTTAAGTACTTACGACGCCACTGGATAAACAACAGGTTTATTATCAATAACCAATTATAACCAATTATCAATTAATAATCGATTTAAGTTTTCAGATAGCTTCCATAATAATTAAGATACGATACAAAAAAACTAAATATTTTCAATTTACTTTGTTTACTTTAAAAAATTGTTTTTTAAGTTTGCTAATACAAATGAATAAAATGAGGTACAAAATAATTTAAAACCCCAGTTTTCAATGACATCTGAAATATGATTTTTATTCGTTTTATTGAGGAATATTTTAAAAAATCCAAATAGTTAGATATTTAAAACAATCACTATTAACTTTGAAAAATATGCTCTAAACAAAGATTTATAAAACTATAACGAACTAAAAGTCAACATCTTCGACCAAACCACCATAACAAAAAACGATTATTAATTGATAATTGGTTATTGATAATAAACCAGATGTTTATCCAGTGGCGTCGTAAGTACTTAAAAAAATAATAAAAATAAAAATGTCTTATTTTAATGACATACCCTGTATCAATATTTATCAAAATTAGAACTTAAGTATCTTTGGTAAGGAGGATTCAATATAATTTATGAGATTTGAAATAAATACTGTCCTAAGGGTAGTTTACTGTCCTAGGGTAGTCTATGAGGTATCGCATTTCTTACCCTTGGCAAAATGTACGACTTATAGCCATACAGCCTCCTGCCAAAAATGAAAAAGATCGCTCAACAAACAACCAAGATATTGGCTTGTATCTATCTTAAGTGGGACACCCTGTATGATATAATATTAATATACCTATTTCGTTACAATTAAAAAAATGTTTCTGTAATATTCAAAAACAATTAAATTAAATATAGAGATCGATATTTCATGAATTTAGTGTGAGAACAAACTAAAGGGGGATGTTTTGTAGTTATGGATGTTATGGGGGATGTTATCAAGTAACATATTATTGGCTTACCAAGATAATGGCTTGTATCCATCTTAAGTGGGACACCCTGTATATAACATATTCTAATAAAGTTGCGATGAGTTTTTTACGACTCTTAGGTAAGCTATCTTGTACACTTCGCACTAAAAGAGGTTCTAAAAAGTATAATGTTCGACTGCAAGGTCTGCTAGTATCACAACACTATTTATTTAAACCAAAAACTCGTAATACAAAACTTAAGTGTCAAAACGAATGACAATATCAGGAAATAAATAAATAAATGTGGCAACTTGTCATTTTTTTACAGCAGAGCTACCACCTGAATCCCCAGCGCCAAATTTAAATTCCAGTTAGTGAGCACGGCGCCGAATATGTCCATGGTTGGCAACAATGAATTTAAAAATCGCGCCCTCGATTACGTAGCTAAAAGTTTAATTGACACGAAATATACATAGAAATTAATTACTTACAATAAATAAAATATTTGCATGCGTTTTAGGTTTCTATTCTACTTGACTTTGCTACAGAAGTGAGATATGTATTTATTTTTGTATATTTAGTGTCTTAGTATTAAACATGCGTATGAATATATTGCTTTGAATATCTAAAAAAAATTAAAAAAATGTTAGTACACTCAGATGCAAAAAAAACGCAACAGAGAAATTTTTGGTCAAAAGTGTTATATTTTTGTTACTTTTAGCCCTATTTGCATGATTTTTTTACCAAACTGTACATAATTATATCAACTTTAATTCGTAAACTCAGTTTTTTGTAAACTTTAGTAATTGGCTTATAATACAGGGTTAATCGAGAGGTTGTTTTTTTATCTTAACTTTAAAATACCCTGTGCAATAATTTCGTGTGTAAATTTTCTTAAAATATAATTTTACGGTAAGAACCATGTCTTCTGAGCATTTTGATTTTTGGATCACGTCAATGCATGCTTTGGTTAATTTTTAAGCGCGAAATGAACTGATCACGATCAATTTGCAATTTTTTCAGTTGTCGTTACGCTTGATGTAATTTTTTAAAGAGACGAGATGGCTTTGATGACTATTGTCGAAACGTCATATTACGCTGCATCGGATACTCTATACTAAATTAAAAAAAAAAACGCTAAAGACTAAGGGTACAGTCCTGGTTTTAAGAAACATTAATAACGATAATAGAACTAACGATATTAAGGAAAACATCTGTAATACTGAAGTATACAAACAGAAAAAAAATTGTAAAAATACCCTAATACTTTGTATTGCCTCCCTTGGCTGCTATAACTGCCTGTGTACGTTTGTTCATACTGTCATTGAGGCTGCATATATCATATTGCGTTATGTTTTCCCATTCTTTAAGGACCAAGCGAAGTTCATTTAATGAAGCTGGTAACACTTCGCGATCTCTATAACCCTCCTGCCAAGTATTTCCCAAACGTCGAACATGATGGCCAATTCATAGTAGTTTATAGTTCACAATAATCACCGAAGCTGCCTTGTCATATTGAAAAAAAACATAAGTTCATTTCGCTCTTAAAAATCAAGGCATGTATTGACATGATTCAAAAAATAAAATGCTCAGGAGACATGATTCTGACCCTAAAATTATATTTCAGAGAAATTTACATACGAAATTATTGCACAGGGTGTGTCAAACTTAGGGTAAAAAACAACCCCTGTATAATATTGTTGCGGACCCGTGTGGACTCGACCTAACCTAACTATATGTCCCGCCCTCAGATGACCTTAACACAGAGATATGGAAGTGGGAGAATGAGCTTCGACGAGTGCGCATCCAAATTTTTGTCGACGGCAAGATGGCAGACATCTTCCAGGTCTCGCTGTCACTTCCCCTCTTTAATTGACATCTGTTTGTTTTGTTTTTTTTTTCGTTTGTGTTGTTATCTAGTTAAAATTTATTATTATCTCAATTATTCTAAACACTAATTCAAAAGGCTTGTTGTATATTGTCATAGTCATTCTAAGAAAGCTAATACGCCGAGAAAAATGATTAGTTTTCATGTGTAAGTTTATACAACATAATCGTGTTTACAGATGATCCAAAACTGTTTATTTTTAGTTTTCCTAAAGGCGATTTGTAAAAATCGTGATTGTAATTGGGAATGGTCAAAAATAAGTGTATGATGTGGCCATTTAAAGAGGATGTTTTTATTACGTGTGGAGGAAGAAGATACTTGGAATCAATGTTCGTGCTTCTGTAAAACAGTGCACTCTTATAGTGTCCATGAAAGCACAAGTTCAAGTGTACCAGAAATATGTCAAATAAAATTGGTCCTTACTTGACAAGTAGATTATTTGGAGGAAAAGAAAACATAAGATAGGGTATTTTAATCGAACAGCGAAAATTTAACATTTTTATATTTTTTATTGTAAAGTTTGTTGTAGGTAGTTGTAGTTTTGTGCTAAATATTTCTAACATTAGCAGCAACAGTGTTCAGAGTGTCAAGAGGAGGAGAATTCAGTTAATTAGATTTATGCACAGTTACAGGTATGAAGGCTTTTTCAAACATAGTATCGAGTTCTATAGTCAACATTTTTAGTATTCCTACAACTGTAAAACAAGGAATATTGGACTGAAAAATGGCAAGATTTATATAGGAAGAAAGGGTATTATGCCAATAAGAAAATTAAATCTGTAGGCAGAAGTTTCTTATTTAAAAACTGTTATGGGGCATATATTAATTTGTATCTGTGCCACAAATCACTGAGAAAAATCATATAATATTCATAATTGTTAACGAGATGATATTTAAAGAGTGTTAAAAATGAGACTATTAGTCATGAAGCTTACAGTGTTACTTTGTTTCAATATTACACTTTTATTCTTGTAAAATCTATGATGAAGTTCAAAAGCATTTTGCAATGGCCTTAAATTGTGAGTTGTGAGCCAGGATTTATAGTAAAGGTATTTGATGCAATGAAACTTAATCGGTACCTTCCAGTATGTATTTTAGTAAGGGGATTGTCAATCCCATGTTTTTAAATAGATAAAATACAGGCCAAAGTTGACAATATTACAGTTGAGAAGAAACTATTTTATCTTAAAAAAAAATTTCTTAAAATTCTGAGATCATATAATCTAATTTTCTTAATAATAAATTAGGTATATGTACATACAGAATTTTGTTATGGACAAATAAGGATCGACAAGCTTCTTTTGTGCAAAAAATAAATGATTTTTTCTAGTATTACGACAAACCATAATGTGTTTTACAAACTTACCGGTAACAGTTTTTGTTTATAATAAAATATTTAGGAATAATTTGGGTTGTTTATCAATATATTAATGACTTGAATTTTGACAAATCGAATTTGTATCAAAATAATTTTACGAAATATAAAATTGATGTTCTATTACAAGATTGAGTTTTTATTGTCGACAAAAACCAGGATAAATACTAATAATAATACCCTTAATAAAATCAATGATGTTTATGTATTATGAAAATATTTGTTAGAGGACATGTTATGTAACAGTTTTTGAAACATAATTTGAAGGGACGAATAAAAAAAATAAAACAAAAACATATTTTTTCTAGGTTTATATTAAAAATACAAGGTAGATAATCATCAAAAATAATTATGAACCAAATGTTTTTTATGAATATACAACTTGAACAAAAAGTTGTTTAGAACAATTTTTACCAAATTTGCAAAAATTTTAAATTGAAACGCGTAATTCAGTACAAGTAAACATGAAATATTGTAAATACTTATTTAATATCATTTCGAGTGTTTTACGACGAAAAGGTCATCTGTCCGTAGCGTCTTTTGTCAGAATATTCGTATATTTAGTGTATTATATACCAATATTGTACGCAGTTTTGAAACTGATAATTAAATAAATCATATTAATGTTAACTAACCATAATAAATGATAGAATTTCACTAAATTTAAATTGCCTCCCGTATGGTTGAAAACAGCAAATTGATATTTGATTACTTATAGATTACCACCTATATACAAAATGACACGAAGACCTGGAATATGGCGCCCAACTTGATTAGACCTTCTGCGCATGTTGACGCTCATTCTCTATCCCTTCTATTTCTCTGCCTTAACATCGCATTAAAGACACCGTAATGATTCATTCGTTCGAGAAGAATCGAGTCCCACTGGAATGGACTAGTACATACGAGAACATTCGAAAACCTTATCTACGCACCTAACGATCTATGGACTATTCTAGAGTTCTTTACCTGTCGGTATAAAAGCCGGCGGCTGTGGCCTACAGGGGGCAGTTATAAATATACCAGTGCAGTTGACGCGCTAAAATTCAATATAAATTCTTAGTTATAAATCGTTTCTATAAGTCTTTTATCGTTATTGTTTTTGTTAATTAGTGTTAAATAAATAGTGTTTAAATAAATTGTGACTTTTATCCACACGGAACCGACGAAAAACGTAACAATTGGTGTCAGGTGTGCGGTGTCTGATAGACTAGGAAAATAAAATGACAGACAATGGCTCCGAAAAAATTGTTGAAGGAGTTGAAAGTGTCGGAATTAAAATGCGTACTGGAAGAGAGGGAATGCGAAACAGATGGAAAGAAAAGCATTTTACAAGCCAGACTGAGAGACGTTTTGATTGAGGAAGGTGAGGATCCCGACACATTTTGCTTTGAGTTGGAAGGTGACCTTGACTCGTGCCTACAAAAATTAGAAGAGAGTTTGAATGACAAAATTACAGAAAATTCCCGGGAATTGCAAGACAATTTAAACGGCAATTTGAAGAATTTAGAAGATAAAATCAGTGATAAAATGATGAAAAATTCCCAGGATTTAATTAATATTTTAGAAGATAAGATCGCAGAAAATTCTAAAGATATACAGGCCAGCTTTAATAATAAAATACAGGAATTAGAAGAAAAGATAATAAATACACAAGATAAAACAACAGAGATTGAGGAAGATGTAAATAGAAAAATTGAAATTTTAAAAGAAGAAATAGCGATGTCGAATTCACCAAAATGTCAAGAAACATCGGAGGGACCGAAACTAGTCGAAAATAGGTATACCTCAAAATCAGTTATAAAACCTCCGCAGTTTGACGGAAAAACCGCTTGGGCCAATTATTTTTGCCAATTTGAAGCCGCTGCGAGAGCGAACGGCTGGACAATCGCTGAAAAAGCTACTGCTTTGACTATCGCCCTGCGAGGAGATGCGACTGATATCCTGCAGACACTGTCACCATCGGAACAGGGAGATTATCAGAATTGGTACGACATTTAGAAATGAGGTACGGCCAAGCTCATTTTGGAACATGTCTATCATTCCCAGCTAAAAAATCGCATTCAAAAAGTCAAATGAGTCTCGGCAGGAGTTTGCCGACGTAGCCCGCCTCGTTCGCCTTGCGTACCCTGCTACGCCCGAGAATGTTATGAAGCGGTTGGCAGTACAGGCATTCTCCGACGGCTTACGTGACAACGAGACAAGACAAGCACTTCTCCTAGCCCACCCAACGCACTTGGTGGATGCTTTAGCACGTGCCCTAGAATTCGAGGCCGCGAATCAAAGTTCTCGGTCTTTAGGAAGAGTACGGGCCATCAACGAATGTTCCGACGAATCCGTGGAAGAGATTGTTCGGAAAGTA